TGATGTACCATCGTTGTAATTACATATAAAACTTCATCTATACTCTAATAAAAAGTTCCCCAGACCAAAGAGGTCACAAAAAAAAAAAAAAAAAAAGAAAGTAGAGTTTACAAGAATATTCAAATACTTAAAATTTCAGATACTAAAGTTTAAGTATTTTAAGTAATCAGATAAATATATAAATATATTTTTTTAATTATAATGATAATCAATTGGTAGATTAAAAGAGGTAGTTAAATATTGATTGTTATTTTTGTATCAAATGATTGTATCATAGTATATTGCAGAGATATATTCTTTATTATAATAAAGGTAATATTAATTACATTACAGTATTAGTTTAGATTAGTAATATAAATAATTGTAAGTTTTTTTTTCTTTTTTTTTATAAACTTAAAATAAATTTAGTTCTTTTTTAGAAAAAAAGACAAAAAATAAAATAAACTCAATCTTTGTGAGTTTAATTTTTTAGGTATTTTGTGAACTTTCATCTTCACGAACTTGCAAAAGCTGCTAAGTAGGGTAAACATACTTGGGATTGGATTTGCTTCTAAAGCAATATTAAGACTTTGATTTGGAGGATGGATATAGCATTCATGCTAAATAAGATGGTGCAGCCTCTTCTTGGAGTCCTTGGGGTAGCACCCCAAGATTAACAGTTAATATATCCAGAGATGCTTGCCTGTGCTAACCATGGGGAACTGGCAGACTATACATTTGTATTATTACGGTTTAAGGTAATCATAAAAATGTCTTTTAGAACTATAACATGTTTTTTTGATATTGTTTTGTAGATAATGGTGCTAACTAGAACAGCAGTAGTTAAGCAAGCATTTTGGTTAATCATGCTTGTCTTATTAGAGAGATACTTGTTATCAGCATTATATCTGGTCTCTACCCAAAAAGTAGATAGCTCTTTCTCTCCTACTTTCTTTTCAACATAAAACTCAAAAGTTAAATTACTTTCTATATAGTTGATGGTCTGATTGGTGATACTAATGATAACTGTATTTATACCAAGTGCTGGCATATCTTCAAAATCGAAGTTTAATATTTTAATAGAGATTGCACTAACCTTATTAAATGAGTTAAAAAGTCAGTTATTAAAGAAGAATAAAAAAAAAATATATATATATATAAAAGGTAACTATGTTTATACTGTGTAATAATTATTGTGTTCAACAAATTTTTTTTTAGATATATCATCACTAGCTTTGAACAGCTCAATGTAGTAAGTGTTGGCTTTACTTAAAGGAATAAAAACCTTTATATTGAAGTATATAATTTTAGAAGGGTCATTATTATCTAATTTTACTATGCCAGTAATTTCCTTTATAGTAAATTTTTGGGTTAGTTGCTCTATATATGATTGGGCGTAACAAATAGTAAACAATTTAGCTTGTATTTTTTTTTATTTTTTTTGAGATTTGAAATAAAGTTTTTTATTTTATTTATTTATAAAATTTTGTTTTTTTTTTTATTTTATTATAAATTTTTTTTTTCTTTATTAAACTTAATTAATTGCTGATTTAACTTATTATTTGCTATCTATCTACAAAAATAGTTATATGTTCAAATTGTTTGGAATAGTGCAAACTATGCGATAATTAGTGTCACTCTGAGTCTAGCTATTTAATTTTTTAATTTTTTTTATAATTTATATTTAATTATTACATAGTTTGGCTGTTTTGAATCATTTGAATGACAATTATACACATGAATATTTTATCTTTTAGAAAGCTATAAAGAATAAAACTTATTTATCTTTTAAAAATTAAAAAAATAATAATCAGGTATTTTTTTTTCAGTTTAAGTTGGCAGTCTTTTTTTTTTCACAGATATTATTTTAGGAAATTTGAGAAGTTTCATTACCAGTAATAATGAATCAACTACAAGATTTGAAACAAATATATTTCTGTATGAAGGATAATGAAAATAGCATATGACCATATCTGTAAATAAATAACAGGTATTTTGAGGTATCAATAAGTAAAAATAGAATATGATAGTATTGGAACTATTTTTCTTTTGTAGCAGATACTTGTTGAGATAATTGAGATAAACTAAATACAGATTTGAGTAAAAGATTAGAATTTAAAATTTGAAAAAAAATTTAAAAACGGATAGGATTCAGATAAACAAAAAAATTAGCACTATAATTGTGAAAGAAAAGAGTTTATAGCATATTTTATTAGCACAATAAAATAAAAATCTGGAACTGAAAACAGTGAAGATTTTTTATATATTCTATTATATAATAATATACTGAGATTTTGCTAAGATGTAGATTTGATTAGTATGGTAAGAGTATTAAATTTAACTTGTTTAACTTGATATATATTCTGATATCAGTTTTATCAAGTCTGTTTATATAGAAATGCTTTTTTTATTTTTATCATGTTTATTATTTATTACCATGATAATTTATTATGTTTATTATATATTTATTTACCATGGTAATAAATAATGAGCCTTAGAGACAGTACTCTAGATTTGTTTAAATGAGTTTGGTATGAAAAGATAAATAAGAACAAAACCTATTTGTAATTCATATATGATTTATCTAATTAGCTAATTTTTATAGATTTACTGTAGTCTTTTGTAATAATTAGCTAGCTAAATTATATAAATTAAAATAAATTATCAAACATTATCAAACATTATCAAATAAACATATAGATGAAAAAAAAATAAATAAACGAATATATAATATAGATAAAAAAAAAAAAATATAGATAAGGGTGTGGCGGCTTAGTGAAGTGGTCTAGCCGTTACCCCACCAAGCGGCAGGTCTAGAGTTCGAATCTCATGGACAACATTTTTCAAAAAATAAATCTTCATTAGGTAACGATTATCCATTGATCGGTTGGATCTACAATCTGTAATCTTGGTTGTACCATCTTGTTATAGAAGCTTCGGCGCAGAAATGCCAAGAAACCAGGATGATCGAAACCCATTTGGGAAGACCCGAGTAAGGAGGTAGTGATACTTTTGATAGTGCTACAGGAAGGCTAAATTTAGAAGTAATAGCCGAGATTGGAGAATCGAACGACAACAAGATCCTTAAGTGGGGGGATCCACCAATCCGACCACCA